TGTAAAGGTTGGATATGTAGTTGGAGAGAAAAAAATTATCAACTTGCCTTATTTAGTGCTATTATCAGTTTTCTCCCCCATATTTTCTGCTCATTCAAAGCTCAACCCTATTTTTTTTTTTTTTTTTTTTAATAACAAATAATATCTTTCCATATCTACTAACTGGTAAAGTGGGTACATAAATTAAAAGAAAAAAATAAAATAAAAAGAGTATATAAATATGCATATATGTGTTGTGTGTCGCTAACGATTAGGCGAGTCGATGTGTCATACATCTATAACAAAAATGCATACTTAATGTATGGACACATATTCAAAGTGTATTTATTGTAGGACACATGTCAATACACTACTTGTGAATAACTGTGGATGGCTCCAGAAGTCGAGCCATCCAATGACTCCATAGCAAAACTGTTGTAAATTTTATGTTATTGTTTCTATTGGATTTTATGGTGTAACTCTATTTTAAACATATACTTATATGTTGATTAAATATGACTATCATTAGGTCTGTCTAAAAGTTGGCTTGGAAGAAAGTCAATCAGTTTGATTTTAAATCTTTATAGTTTGGTGCATATCCATACACGTCTTTTTTTTGACTTTTTGTTTCTTCAGATTTGTTAATTTCACTTTCAACTAAAGAATAATTAAGAGAAAATAGAAATAAGAAATATGCAAAAAAAGAAAAAAAAGTTATAAATTTTGACTTGATCTCTGATTTGATATTAATTATAGTATACTATCTTTAACAATTTACAATACACTAACCTCGAAAAGTGACTTTGTCGTTACTCTTAATTGATGCATTTTAATATATATGTACGCAATTTGCAAAAAAAAAATAAAAAAAATATATATGTACGCATGCAATTTCGGAAAAAAGGCATTTTCTTACTTTTGAGCTTACTTATGATTAATGGTAGAAATGTTACCCGATATAATAAAAATGTGGTACAATTATATGATAATTTATTTCGAATAAAAATTTTAATATCTTTTTTTTTTAAAAAAAAATATTTAGAAAAGCTTATGAGATTAATCATCATATCAATAACTAAATTATATTTGGCTTTTGTTTTTTGAGCCCGTAAATTGATCTATGATCGGCCATGTAACTACTTATTAACTAAAAAAAAAAAGTTTCATATTACAAAAGTTGCAAAGAATGTATATATATATATATATATATATATAATGTCACTATATTAAGTTGTTTTTTATGTATGATTTATTTACATTTTAATTAATAAAGCGCAGGTTCATTTGAATAATTAAATATGAGCCAATAAAATTATAATTTTCCTTGCTTTTCTACTCTCTTCATTTCAGTCATTTGCTTCAGAACAAAGGCCAATTATTTGGTTTCAATATATTCCCCTTCGTCTAAACACAGTCGATTTCTTTTTGAAGTATCCAAAAAAATTAAATTTTGTTTGCATTAAAGTAAATCATTCAATGAACGAAAACAGTCGATATTCAAAAAATACTAAAATCAATTTTGGTTAATTTTCATTTTTTATTTCAATATTTAAATGAACAAAAATAAAATGGATACAATAAAAGTAGTATATTTTGGTGGGACATAGTGTACTACCGTATTAACTAATCCAAGTGCTTCATTTAAATCTCATTGGTACTCGATAATATAAACCAATTGAATAGTAATTTAAATGCTAAGAGTCAACTGTTGGCTCCGTTACGAAGCCAACAACCAATTATACAGCTCCATGTGGGGCTGTCCCACATGACTCTAATGTGGAACAGCCCCATATGGAACTGTCTCATTGGCTGTTGGCTCCGTTAGGGAGTCGACAGTTGACTCCCTAGCATTACTAGTAATACAAATGCAACTTTTCAAGCACCCCAAAGGTTATATTAGTGACTAACTATTTAATTAAGTGCCCTAATCATATATTAGCGTACAACTAATGATAGAATAAAGCCTGGGATTCCACTGCAAATACGGCGGGGAAACAAATAGCAGTAGTAGCTATGAAGACGCGTGATTTGATAATCTATTCAACGGTCCAATGCTCCCAACCAATCCCTTTTTAGCACTCACTAAAAGTTCACATCCTTTTAGGGGGCCGACACGTCTGCACATGCAATAACGTGCTGATCAAGTCCTAAAAGTGGGCCCACTTTTTCACCTTGAATAATCAAACCCAAAAGTTCATTTTTGACCGTGATTTAGTACGGTCATCTCTGGGCCAGACCCCCTTTTTACTGTCTCTATTCTGTTCTGTTCTCACATTTTGGATCATGAACACGTCAACATCAACCACGGCCACATAATGACTATAATACCCCTCACAGAAAGGGAGTAATGTAAATGGGGGTGTCTATATGTACACCCCCTCAAGTGTAAAAAAGGGGTGTACATATAGCACTTTTCTTTGTGTAATTTATTAAAAGAGGGTGTACATATAGCATTGCCCATGTAAATTACGAAAAAAAAACTTTCAATTGAGATTTTTAAAAACTTTTTAAAACTTTTTAAAATTTGATGATTTTTGTGGATTTTTTAGAACTTTCATGATTTTAGTGGACTTTTTGAGACTTTCAGAGAATTTTTATTAGTGGCTTTTAAGACTTTCATAATAAACTTTTTAAAACTTGTTGAGACTTTTATATACTTGCAGTTATAATATTATGATTGAACAAAATATTAATAAACATAAACAAGGATAAATGAAAAAAAAAGGTGTTGTATATATTAATCCTCTAAAAATTTATGAATAAACTCATTTTTATGCGAAATGAGTTATTCACGAACAAATTGTTTAGTTAGGATTTTAGATTTATTAAACGAGTAAATCGATCCGAGCATCAACGAGTCGAATCGAGCAGGACCTTATATTTGTTTGTTAAAAGAGCACAAACTCAAATATGTATTAGACATCTCTGCTATAACGACACTTATAATCAATCCAATGGAAGATATATTTATCTAATTATTGATTGATTTTATTTTTTATATTTTTTTGCATAATGTTGTTATATTAGAAAAATATTACTATGATATATTTTTGCAAGATACAAATATTGCCGAAAAACAGTAATTGTATCTTATAAAAATTATCAGTAATATTCAAAACATTTCAATATTAACCAATAAACTATTTGAAAATAAAATAATTTTTTAATATTTTAAAATAAACATTTACAAATAAAAAGAAAGAACAAATAAATTATTTGCAAGTGCAACTATGAAAGCATTAACCTTTGAAAAGTCAAATTCACAAGATAGCAAAATGAGAGAATAAAGGTAAACACACATAAAATATGCATAATAAAGAATATATAAAATAAAAAGATAACATTAACATACGTAATGAAAATAAAAATTACACAAGGTATCAAAATAAACAAGTAAAATAATAGAGCATGAAAATAATATGAGATACAAAGTCGTGTTAGAAAGAAAAAAAAAAGGGCGTGAAAAGAGTCACATAAATCCAGCAAAATCTCACCAATATTGATGAGATTTCTGTTGAGACTTTTCCTTTGTAATTTTATTACAAAAGTCTCTAAAAGTCTCAAAATTAAAAAGTCTCACAAAGTCTTTCTGTTTTGAATACCGGGTGACTTATAAAGACTCTCAGAATGTTTTGATTGAATACCCTGAGACTTTTAGAGACTTATTAAAAGTCATTAAAAGTGTCAATTGAATACAGATAAACTTTTCAGAAGTCTTTAAAAGTTCTAATTGAATACACCAAAATTTTAAATGTTTTAAAAAGTCTGTAAAAATTGAAATTGAATAC